GATTGCTGACGCTGGACAAGAAGACCTCCCAGGTCCCTTCTAACCCCCTTTTTTTTTTTTTTAATGAAGTACAGTGTACATGATATCCACTCAAAGCTGGCCATGGAGACAGGAAGGTTTAAGCTTACAGAGCATATGAAAAAATACCAACATGACAGGGTTCTAGCAAGAGACAACAAAACACGGTTTTCAAATACAAAGTATTTTTCAAAATAAAGGACTGTTCCTATATGAAATGCCAGGGAAGTGGGAATAACCGAGTCTGATTGTTTTTAAAGGTATTTAAAGATCATGTCATTGATGGAGAAACCTTACCACTGCTTACAGAAGAACATCTTTTAGACATGATGGGATTAAAACTTGGGCCTGCTTTAAAGATTCAATCACAGGTAGAGTCCGTAGACCTTCTGAAATTCCAAACTCTGAGCAAACGAAAACTATAGCACTTTCAAATATATCTTAATTTCCACTAACTTTTTATGTGGGTTTTATTAAAAGCTAGCTTCATCTTGCTTTTGTTATATGGTACAAGTAGTTCTCGGATTAAAAGCATAATTTTGAGCCTGGAATTACAATAAAAAATCATGTTGGTCATTAAGTGAGTCATTGCTCGGCTAGTCCAATTTTACAACTTTTTTGCAGCAGTCATCAAGTGAATGTAATGATGGTGGCAGTCATTAAGCGAACCCAAAAAAATGGACATTTTTTTGATGGAAAGGGGAAGTAATTGTGGTTTAACAGTTGTTAAACGAATCATTGTAGTTGTTCAGTTAGTAACACAGTTGTAAAGTGAATCTGGATTTGTTTGTCAGAAGGTCACAAAAGATGATCACACAACCCCAAGGACCCTACAACTGTCATATATATGAGTCAGTTGCCAAACGTCCAAATTTTGATCACGTGACCATGGGGCTGTTGCAATGGTCGTTAAGTGTAAAAAGTGGCCATAATTTTTTTTTTAATGTTGCGGTAACTTTGAATGAGCACGAAACAAATTGTTGTAAATCGAGGCCTGTAAATTGCTGTAGCATTTTCTTTGTGTTTGAGTTAAATTCACAAGCAACAGGAAGGCCATCATGTTAAAGTAGTTACTATATGTGATGGCATACTGCCAATATGACACAAACATGCCTTAATGATAGAAAACCCGGATGACAAACAGTTCTTAATGATAGGAAGCCGGGATGACAAACAATTAGAGCAGCAGAGATCCAACCACTATTCTCAAAGGACAATTCTTCCATATTATTCTTTATTAGCTGACTTCATGGATTCCACGTATTAAATATTGCACAGAATCATTTCTTTCATTATTACTACACATTAAAGAGGGTAATCATGATACTATGATAAAGGCTCAGTAAGGGGCACTGAATAGTGAAAAGCCCCTACCGTATTCAGTTTTTTGCTTATTATGAATCTGTAAACATCTGTACATTAAATAATAATAATAAAAAGATGATTGTTCCCCCTCATTAGTCAAAATGTTCTGCCTTAATCTTTTATGGGAGTATAGGTTAGTTCCACCTTTGGATTTTAGGCAACTGTTTAATTTTGAAAATTCTTTTCATTCTAAAGTGAAATATCAACAAT